TTTAGGCTATGCCTAGATTACATTCCTCTTTCAAAAGAGGGATGTAAATTAGACATATCGAAATTGCAAATGAAGCTGGGATTTGAATTTCCTGTGCTTCATTTGCATAATTGCATCAAAGCGCTTTTTTTTAAACACTATTTCGAAAGTGAAACCGTGGTCTAGACTCAGTTCTTTCTAAAAGAAAAGTCTTTTTCGAAAGATCCTGTACTCCTCAAAAAATGTGGCTTACATTCAAATCCCAGCTTCATTTGCTATTTCGTTAAGTCTAATTTACATCCCTCTTTCGAAACAGGGATGTAAGTCTAGCCCCTCTGTTGAAGATTTAAAGTAATTTTTTTCATACATTGCATCAAATTATGGTCACATTTTTCCAGACTTGAGAGTAAACAAACTTACAACGCATTGCATGCATTAACTCCAGAAGTTGCTGCTCAGCGAGAATATGGAGTTTTTTTTCAGCCACAGATCCTTGAGAAAGGTCTCTCAGCAATCCTGCATCTGAATATGAAGTTATTAAAAACAGTAGTCAAGTTCATTTTTACATTTAAAACTCGTGTCCATATTTTATAATACATTTGTTTTCAGGTTAATCCATTCCGTTTTCACTGAAAATTCTCTATTAATAGGCTTGATTACTATTAATGTAGTGAAAACAGATCACAGGACCTGCAAAGTGCAAGGGTGCCTACATGATTACTTTTTCCCTCCTAGATATTCAATTTATTTGTAAAATGTTACTACCTATATTATTTCTTGGTATTTAAAGAACAGATGGTTACTCATCTTGTGTGGTAACTGAGGTTCTTCAAGATGGTTGTCCCTGTGGGTACTTCACATAGGCATTTGAATGCCACTGCACTTCCTATTGGAGAATTAAGATAGCGGTGCCCACGGCAGGCTGCGCACACCAGGCAACTAGCATGTGCCATTAAGAGCAGCTAGACTGCATGCACAGCCAACCAACCTGTTCCCCAGGGGTCCTCGTACTTGTAGGGAACTAAGGGTGAATCCCATGTTTTTGAGAGCTAGGAGATAGATACTCAAGTATATATGGAAGGGCAGCTGAGACGGGAGAGATGTGATGATGATCACATCATATTGAAAACTGGTGCCATTTGTGCAAATGTTTTTCTTGTAGATTGGGGTGGGCAAGATACAGCCTGGGGCCAGATCCTGCCTGCCAAGCCTTTCAATCCAGCCCACAACCTATCCCACTGAACCCACAGGCAGGGTGCAGACCCAAGGCTCAGAGCAACTGGCTGGTCTGTCTGCCTTCTGAGGTTGGGTGAGAGATGGAAGCTTTGCATGTTACAAACCCCTTCCTTCATCCAAACTCTCTCTCAGACCTCATACCTTTTCCTATACCCCAATCTCCTATCCCAAGCTCTCTTCTGCACCCAACCTCTTTCCCAAACCCCACAACCGCTCCATAGAAAAGGAGGGCCCTTGACCACTTACCAAAATCTTGGAGTGGCCAACATGAAAAATTATTGCCCACCCCTGTGGTAGATGGTCTGCAGGAACAGAGACTAATCTCTTGGATAGGTGCAGAGCAAGATGTTTTGTGTGAAGTCAGCTAGCAAGGAGCCACATGCAAAGTTGCGGGGTGAACTTTGGGTGATATAGTCGGCAGTCATTCCACATGAGCAAGCAAGGGACAGGTGGAAAACACCAAGTGCTATTGTCATCCAGAAGAAGTAAGGGAACCATGTCTGTCTGGGCCAATTGGGTGCTATTAGAATGACTATGGCTCTGACTTGTTTTATTTTGAGGATGACCTGATAAAGGGGTGGTAGTGATGAAAAAGCGTAGATGAGTGGTGCATCCCACTTTATCATAAAGGCATCTCCCAAGGGGTAGGGCAGAAGGGAGCTGGAGCTAATGGGGATCAGGTCTTTGGGCCTGGTGAGAGATAAAACCTCCCTGCTGTCTTGAAGGGGCAGTTTGCCAGGACCAAAAGTCTCTCTGTGAATCCAACAGGTATAGTGCATAGAACTTATATAACCCACACACCTGCTGGCTGTGGTGCACTCCCCCACTCTACACATCTGAGGAAGTGGGTTTTGCTCGAGACTATAGATAGATATTTGCTAATCTCCAAGGTGCCCCAGGACTACTTATTGCTTTAAAGTTACAGACTAACACTGCTACCCCTCTGAGGCTTGTCCCATGTAGTGGCACTTAACTCATTCTTTCCCTCAGTCAGTGGGGGGGGGCTTTCTCTACAGCCTGAGCTCAGAGCCAGCTGGTGTTTAGCTCAAACTGTAGAGCAGGGGTGGGGGGACCTCAGGCCCCCTTGCTTGCCTGGATCTGGCCCTTGAGGATCTATTGCTGGAGTGGGCAGGAATTGAGCCCATGACCCTGAGCTCCCCAGGTGAGTGCCTGTGCCCCTAGGCCATGCCAGGGCGGGATGCAGCCCCTGGCTTGCCTGGATCCGGCCCCTGAGGCTCAGCCCTCCCCCAGTATTGGGGAGCCTGCGATAGTGCTCCAACCCCCTGCAGGACTGGAGCACACAAAATCAACTAGTCTGGGCCTGCTATGTGAGAAGAATGGGGGGAGTGTCTTTCTCCTTCTCAGTCGAAGGCCACATCACTAAGGACTTTAGGGGTTTGTTTTTTTTTTTTTGGCTTCTCACTTGTGTGCAGTCCCTGCCTGATTTTTTTCTTCTGTGGGTCAGCAGCCCTCAACCACAAAAAAGTTCCCCACCCCTGCTGTAGAGGCTCATGCACTAAGCTTCAGCGGTCCTAGGTTCAGTTCCAGCTGTCAGCATTACACTGACAGAGGGGAAGAGACAGCTCAGGAAGAGACAGATGTTTGTTGGGAGGGGGCAGTTCTTTGCCCATAGGCTGAACAAGTTGCCAGGGGGCAAAAGGCACATGGGAAAATTCCTGAACAGTCTTCAGCCATCTTAGCCTCCTGGTGCAAGGTGCAGTGATGCAGGCGTTGCTCCAGGTGGGGAAACGGAGCATTTAGCCCAGAAGAAAGGGAGAACGATCTCTTCCTCTAAACGGAGTGTTGACCCTGAAGCCTCGTGCTGAGCATCTCTCTGTTCAGCATTTGGAGCCATTCTGGAGCAAACACGGAGCAGTCTGAGGAGAGAACACACATCGTCCCTCCTGCTCAAAGCTTGATCCCTGCTACGTTCACTTCAGCATGCCCCATGTCCACCTTGGCTTTGGCTTTTGCAATGAGGGCTGGAAGCTCCAGAGGGCAGGCCGGGTCAACTCTGGTCCAGGCCAGGTGCATTATGACTCTTGCCTGAATCCATCTTTACATGCTTATTTTCCGTCCCCCTGTTTCTGGTTTGCATTATGACTCTTGCCTGAATCCATCTTGACATGCTCATTTTCCTTCCCCCTGTTTCTGCTTCACTGGCCTCCACTGGATGAGGTGGGTGTCTCCCTTTTCATTACTCACACCACTAGCTTCCAGTGACCGGTGTATCCACTCAGCCCAGGACCGTAAGTTGCCTTTGCACCCCTCCCCCAGTCCATCCACTAAGGCCATGGATAAGGGGTACAGATGCCACAGTGCTGGGTGTCGTATGACTGGATTCGAACCACCCCCGCCCCTTTGGCCCGGCCGCAGTGCCCTCTCCCCCAGCGCTACCCACGTAGCAGCTGCTGCTCTTGTCTGGAGAACTGAATTGCACAAACTCTTTAGGCACATGTGCGTGGAGCTTGTTGACTAAATTTGCAGCAAACACTGGCCATCACGCTCATTGTAGATCTCCCAGCTCCCGCCGGATTGAGCTGTACACTCACTTAGCTCTTCCATGCTCGGAGGTCCCATAGGCTCATGATAGGCCTCCTGCCTCGGGCGGGCAGTGCTGCCGGACACACAAGCAGGTGAGAGTCTGTCCTGCACAAGGCATCAATATACATCACCTCGCCCCCAGCTAACCTCTTAGCTAGGGCCAGGCTAGGCTCGCCACCTTCCTTTGCTGCCTGGTTAGGGGTCAGCTTCAAAGAGACATTTCCCAGCCTTGCCACCTGCGTAAGGATCCCAGGCATAAGTCAGAGGCAGGACAAAGCTCATCAGAGGCCATCAAAAGAGGGAGTGGAGGAAAAGGCAGCCCTGCCCAAAGGGAGTCATTTAGCACTCACCAGAGATGGGCACAAGCCTCTGGTCTGAACCCAGAGTCCAACTTCCCCCAAACCCAGAGGGCATCAGACCCATCTCTCAGCCAAAGGACATTCGTGTAGAGTCCTGCTGCCAGTCCCTCGTGCCCGGGGCCAGTGGGGGGCTGAGCTCAGTGAGGATCGTGCCCTCCGTTCGAGATAAGAGGGGCACCTGGTGCTGGCCAGTGCCGAGATGCAGAGCTGGCAGGGCGGGCTGGCTGATGGGAATCTGACGGTGTACGAGTGGGAATCCAAAACAGAGGTGCATGGCTCCTTCCCAGAGGGTAACATCTGGAGAGCCAGGAGAACTGTGCCCATGAAGGGTTGCTTCCTGTACTTGGGTTGCTAACTGGAGCTGGTAGGGCAGAAGCAGCTGTTTAGAATGACATTTCTCTCCCCGGGTCCCTTGGGCTATGTTAGTACGTCGAGAGCACTTAAGAAAGGCTCAAACTCCACTTGCATCCACGTTGTGGCTCCTTTAGCTGCAGCATGGAATCCGTTGTGCCTGCTGCTATGTGTAGACCTGGAGAGAGAATTCGCCACGGGCACTCCTCCTCCATGGCTGACCACTAGTGTCCCACTGCAGGCCCAGCGAACTCTAGGCCACGAAGACTCAGGCTGCAGCTCAAGGGCTGTAGGTTGGTTCCCAGACTCAAGCGAAGAGGCGTTACCCTGGGAGATGGCAGGGCAGGGTTGATTAGAGATCTCATTAGACCCAGGAGGGCAAGGAAGTAGCTTGATGGGGATGCAATGGGATGGGGTGGGAAGAGGGAAGGGTGCCTGCGATCAGGCGTGGGTCTCTGCTATGCATGAAGCTTAAAACCGTCTCTCTGCCACTGGGGCCAAGAGCTCCACTGACGCTCTCTGTGTCCCCAGAGAATGAGCTGCGGCTACATTTTGTGCACCGTCCTTCTGTCTGTGGCTGCGCCATCCTCTTCATGAACCACTATCACACCCCCATCACGGAGACTCCGCCCATCATCAGCACCAACCCCGAGGAGGCCCACGCCCTGGTCACCATCGAGAAGGTGGACAGCTCCCGCATCAACATCTTCATTGACCCCAACTGTCCCGACCAGGCCGGCAGCTTCACCCGCCTGGAAGGCTTCCAGTCCTCCCTGCTGCGGGCCATGACGGACCATGATGCTGAGGTGAAGTCGTCCAAGGGGCAGGAGTGGGCCCTGCTGGTCACTGTCGCAGATGAGGTGGCCAAACTCCTGACCCACGCCACCCAGCTGAGAGCCGACTGTGACAGCCTGAAGAAGGGGCACAACGCCATGGGGCAGGAGCTCAACGCCCTGCAGAACGAGCAGGGGCGGCTGATACAGGTGAGCACGGGAGGTCGCTGGCTGAGGTCCCCAGGCGTTGCCCGTGCTGGCTGAGCCCTTCGGGCGCTGGAGAGGGAGCGAGGAGGCTCGGTTTGCAGGATGGTCCAGCCTAAATAACATTCCTGGAGACGCTGGGCTGGAGACAGGACCCTTCCCTGGGCTGCCCACAGGGCTCCCATTCCTATAACCTCCAGGTTCACCGTCCTCCTGCCCAGGGGCACGTGGTGAAGGCGGGGAATGCGAGGGTGACCCCTGGTACCGCTCTCACCCCCTGGAGATCAGCTGCAGAGGAAGCAGCCACCCACCCCATTGTAGGTCCAGTTCTGTGTGCTGCTGGTGAGGCCGCGGGGCAAGCAGGGAGGGAGAAAGGCGCATAAGGGAACTGGGTGATTGAAAGACTCATTATGTTCGGAGGGCCAGTCCCACAGGACTGATTCCACTCTCGCTACGGCTCTCCTCCTAGACAAACAGTGGCTTCACATCCTCCTGGGGCAGCCGGCTGTAACATTTCTCCAGCTACAGCCTCTCACATCCCCGTCTGTCCTCGCCAGCTCCCAGAAACACCCGACCCCTCTGCTCTTCTCTCCGTCACATCCTCACTTTCCACAGTTATGTAGCTGGTGGCTGCTTTTTGTCCTCATGGCCCGGGACTCCCTAGAGCTGGGTTTTAATCCCGGCTTTGCTGCTGACCGGGATTAAATTTAACACGGTTTCAGCCTGTAGCCTCTGGGGGCAGTGTTAAGGTTTTTCAAAGCGGTCTACACACCATACAAAATTTTTAGGAGTCCACAAATGAGAGAGGGTTGAAAACCACTGGTTTAAACTAAGGATGTTAAGGATCGGGTATTTTGCTAATCGGGTAATTCATACAATTTGTATGGACTATATGAGTAGTCGACAAGGGGAGGTTTGCTCTGGGACCAGGGGCAGCCGGCATTTTATATATAGTAAAAGCCCGGCAGCTCTTACTACATTTAAAATGCAGAGGTGCAGCAGCCCTGCACCCACACAAGCCAGGACTGCTTGGTCCCAGCTCGCACTGGGTCCAGCAGCTGCTGTTTGTGGTGGCTGGGGCTGGCCATGGACAGGGGCTGCTGCCGGAGCAGCCCCC